TGTTTCCTAACTTTGCCAGAGTTGCGGGCCCTTGCTTCCTTCAAGTGTGGGACCTTGATGGCAATAGAATGACCTGGGCCACTACAGGAACAGTGATACCGGGTGGATGCTCACTACCCCAGGGTCCTCTTGGCTGCCTCTAGGCCTCTTTAAATCAGTCTCCCCATCCAGGGTTCTTGTGCTGAAAGCTTCAGTTGTCAATTTGACACGCATGCGAAGAGGGAGCCTAAATTGGGGACTTTCCTTTATGGGATGGCCTGTGGGCATGTCTGTGAGGCATTGATTGTTGAGTGATGTGGGAAGGCCCAGCCCACTGTGGGCAGTGTCATCCCTGGACAGGTGGTCCTGGGTTGCAAGAATGCAGGCTGAGCACAGGTCAGAGGAGAAGCCAGTAAGCAGCGTTCCTCCGCGGTCTGGGCTGCAGTTGCTGCCTCCAGGCTCCTGCCATGCCTTCCCTCAGTGCTGAACAGTGATCAGGACAAACAAGCCCTTTTCTCCCCAAGGCCACAGTGTTTATCAGAGCAATAGAGAAATAAAATGGAGTTCTCCTCCATGAAATGTTACTAGACAGACACTTCCCTCCTGGGTAAAAACCCGGCACCAGGACAGGTAAACCCAAGTGCCACCCTCTCAGCTCCAAGAAACCCCTCCTCTCCAGGGGCTCTCCTCCAATAGGAGAGCCCACCTCACAGGACCTTTCTGGTCCAGAGCCCCTTGGAAGACCCCCCTGCTCACCGCTGCCCGCTCCTGGCCTGCTTGCCCTCCTCTGAGAGCCCACGCTTTGGAGTCTGTCCTCCCCAGGTTACCCCCTAGCCACCTCTACCTAGCTGAGTCCTCTGGGGCCAGGAGCCACAAAAAAAAACACTGCAAGGTAGACCCCTTCCACACAGGCCTCACTTTCCCCTTTGAGTGCTGTTATAACCCAAGTTTCTGATATTCTCAACCTGAGACCTCCAGGCCCCTGCTGACCTGGGCCCCATGGACAACCTGGGCTGCTGTTAGATAAGGAAGGATGAGTCCAACTTTGCACTTAGGACAGCTTGAATCCAGCCTACAGCCACCACAGGACTAGGCCAGCTGTTTATGGCCTGGCCTGCAGGGGTTAACATGCCTGGCCACCTTGGGACGGGATTCCCATATGGATCCCCTCACTGTTCCCTAAGGCTGGTTTCTTCGGAGACACAGCAGTCAGTCGCCAAGCAGAACCAGCTGGTACGGTCCCCAGGGCTAAGTACCAAGGAAGCAGCCAAGAAGGTAACCTGTGGGCTGCTCAGGGCAGTGTGAGAGGCACAGGTTCGTGGCCTCAGAGCTGCCCTGCACCCACGGCAGGTTGCCCACCAGGACCTGGTTCCCTGGATCAGGATGGTGCCTGGGAAGTGTCCCAGGGTGCACACTGTATAGACTCCAGACACCACCCTCTGTTCTGACCATGTGGGGGAGTGAGGGCAGCTTGACTCCAGCTCAGAGAAGGCTGTGTCTCATTAGCACCCAGACTCCTAACACTGGAGCCGTGCAGCCCTTCCTGCTGGACCACAGGAAGTCCCCATGGGCTTGATGATGCTCACCCTCAAGGTGCTCCTGCTCAGATACCTATCCCCACACTCTACATTGTTCCTGACTCGTGTGTCCATCCCTTCCTGGTGGCTCTCTGACCACAGACATCTTACTGCACAAGAGAAGGTTCTAAGTACAAATAAGAGGGCCACACCCTGTTGGGACACACAGCCTCAACTCCAGCTGGGAACAGGTCCAAAAGGTGGGGTACAGACTGGCTACTAGGTCAGCTCAGGGGGTTCTGTGCCCCTGTAGCCCACTGTCCATCAGGTTTGGGGAGGCCAAGGCACCTGTGTGGGGACTGTGAAGTGCACCGCCCCCATCCAGCCCGTGGACCCAGCTATCCCGCCTAGCTCTCCAGCACTGACAAGCCAGGAGGATGGGCGAGGGAGGGTCCCACGGCTTCCCAGCAGCACAGGCCCCAGCAGGTTCCTGACATCACGTGGCCACAAAGGAGAGGGCAGGTGTGTCTGCGGCCGGCCCCAACCCACTCCCAATGTCCTGCCTTTTCCTGTCTGTGCAGGGGGTCAGCTTGGGACTGGGACAGTTCCAGGGCAGCCACCAATCTCTCCATGCTCAGCCAGGGGAAAGCCAGGGCTGGCGGCCAGCTCAGAGTAGCAGTGCACAGCAGCTGGCTGGGCACCTGAGTTTTCCTTAGGCTGGACTTGCTGAGGAATCAGTCTCTGTGGAGCTAATTAGTCAGCTTTCCAGAGGGAACAAGATATTGTGGGGACAGGATGGCCCTGGGCCTGACCCTTACCCATGGGGACCCTGGTGTCTGCTGAAGGGGGCCAAGCTGAGGCAGGATGAGTAGCCCTCATTCCCCCATGGTCAGTGGCCACACTGAAAGTAAGGCCAGCAGTGGAAGCCCGTCCCCCAGTAGGGACTCCAGGTCAAGAGCAGTGTGGAGCAAGCTGAGGCCTGGGTCTGGGTCCCCTTCAGTGACCATCAGCATGAGCTGGCTATGGCCAGTCTGTTCCACCCTTGCTGGGCAACAGGTCGCTTAGGCAAGGACTGAGCCTCAGCTGACCAAGCCAGGCCTGAGCAAGGTATGGAGCAGGGAGGCCTGGGACCTGGAATGGCTCAGGACATGGACAGTAGGCTGAGGGAGGGGTAGGCCTCCACACACATGCACATGTGGGCTGCTGCAGAGGCCAGCTCTGCTCATGCACATGATGCACACAGGCCCATGGGTACCACTCCCAGCCCGGCTCCCACCACATCTTGCCACGAGCAGGCAATGGGGTCGATTCCTCCTGAGCTAGAGCTTTCCCCACACCAGGCAGGTGTGAGCATGGCCGCCACATACTGCAGGCACAACTTAGCAGCAGCAGAGACCCCACATGCTGCCCTTGCTCACTAGTCGCCTTCTGGGCCGGACTGATGGGCCCAAGACGACTCACCAGGCCTCTGCCCAAGGTCTTCAGCTACGGCTGGGGCCATTTTCATCTTTTGTCCCTGAGCTGTATCTGGACTGTGTGTGCTCATGTGGACAGTGTGTGTGCGCGTGTAAGGGGGCAATATTCGGGGGGGTGTTCATGTGGAGGAGGGCGTGTGTCTGTGTGTTCATGTGGAGGGTATATGGGTGTGTGTTCATGTGGTGGGCAAGTGTATGGGTGGGTGTTGGTGCATATGCATTTATGCATGTGTGTGGAAGCCAGAAGTCCTCTGGTATCATTTCTCCACCTTTTTGGAAGTGGGGGGGGTCTCTCCTTGGCCAGTGAGCCCCATGGATCTTCCTGTCTCCCCAGTGCTGACATACACCACACCGCCTGGCTTTTGATGTAGGCACTGGGGATTGAACTCAGGTCCTCATGCTACTCCAGCACTCCACCGAGCCAGCTGTCTAACCCTGGACCACCTGTGAGGGTCATCTACTTCACAGATTCTCTCCTGTGGTCTCTGAGCTGCTGTTGAACTTACCTGCAAGCTTTCATTCAGAGATCATATATCTTCATTTCTAGAGCTTCTGCTTGGTTCCATTTCAAGCCTGCAGAGCCGTTTTCTGGCCCATTGGTATCTCTGAGGCATCTTCTCTGGACACAGGGAGCAGCCTTGTTCAGTTTGTGAGGGAGAACGCTGAAGTGTGGGTCTGGCGCTGCAGTCTGCCACTCAGGCTTCTATCACAGAGCAGGGCTTCCTGTGGATCTGGGTTTCTTGGTTGTAGTCAGTCCACTGGCCTTGAAAAGTCATTGATGAGGAAGGTATGGAGAACTCTAGGATTGTGGCTTTTATTTATTTTGACAACGTCCTTGGGGACCTCATGTTAAATAATATCATTTAAGCAGAAACTTGAAGCTTGGGGTCTTTTTAGCCAATCAAGTGTTGGCAATGTGGATCTCATGTCTTCCCAGTCATGATGAAAACCCTGACTCCTCAGGGCAACTTTGCATCTGAACTGCTCAGTGCTGTGTCCCCCATGTGTTACTGTGGGCCCAGCAGTGTTGTGAAGAGGCTGGTGGAAGACACAGCAGGCACCATGGAAACGTGTCACATGCACTGAATTTACAGAGAGATGACCCAGGGTATTCCCAGAAAAAGACCTCGCAGAAGCCAGATGAGTTCACCCAGAAGTAATGTGTCCTTCTCCAGAGGCTGGAGGGCCTTCTGCCCCTCACAGCCATGACACCTGGCTACCAACATCCAGCCCTGAGACCACCATGCTGTTCTACTCTCCTGTGAGCTGTGAAGACAAGAGGACATTGTCCACAAAGGGCTGCAGCTTCCCTTGATCTCCGTTTCTCCAAACTGGACCTGGGGTTTCCTTAGCAGTTTTACTCAAAGCCCTTTCTTTGTATGTCTACAAAGCAGGAGGCCAGGCACCCAGAGTCCCCTCACCCTGTCCCCTAGAGGGTACCGTCACAGCCCTGCCAACCACTACGCGACTCCAGCAATGCCCAAGGCCCAAGCTACCCACAGAGAAAAAGACCTCGCAGAAGCCAGATGAGTTCACCCAGCAGAAGTAATGTGTCCTTCTCCAGAGGCTGGAGGGCCTTCTGCCCCTCACAGCCATGACACCTGGCTACCAACATCCAGCCCTGAGACCACCATGCTGTTCTACTCTCCTGTGAGCTGTGAAGACAAGAGGACATTGTCCACAAAGGGCTGCAGCTTCCCTTGATCTCCGTTTCTCCAAACTGGACCTGGGGTTTCCTTAGCAGTTTTACTCAAAGCCCTTTCTTTGTATGTCTACAAAGCAGGAGGCCAGGCACCCAGAGTCCCCTCACCCTGTCCCCTAGAGGGTACCGTCACAGCCCTGCCAACCACTACGCGACTCCAGCAATGCCCAAGGCCCAAGCTACCCACAGGGCTGGGGTCAGCAGGCCCATCTGACCCCACAGCCCCTCAGCAACATGACCCGACACTAAGGCCACACTCCACTTTCTGCCTCTGCCCCAACTGCAAGCAAAAAAGGAACAGCACCCAAAGAATAGGGAGGCCAAAAATTTAAGTTATTAAATCAAATATACAGAGTGATTCATTTAATATGTACATATTTACAGAAATGCACTTTCACAAGGAGGGTGGCCAGGGCTGGCAGGTGGGCAGCAGCCTGGTGCCCACGGCAAACGCTGACAGCTGGGAGGGGGTCTGTGTGAAGGCACTTGTCACAAGCTTCAATACTGCCGCTGTCCCGGGAGGGAAACCAAGCAGTCGGGAAGGGCACTTCTGAAAGCACAGTTGGAGATCTCTGGAGAGTTCCGGGCAGGAGGAAGCAAGGACAGCAAGCTGGAGGGACCAGCTGGGGCATGGACCAAGTCTGCTTGCCAGCCTTAGGCCACACCCATGACCTCCAACCCTGCTGACAACCACAGGAGCCGCCAGCAGCCATAGGCCATGCCACAACCAGGGACACATCAATAGGCAGCGGCACACGGACCATCACAGGTCCTACCTGCAGTCCCAGGTCCCACTGAAAGCTAGAATAGGCTGTACCGCAGCAACAGGTACCACAACAGCCACGGGCCCCACTGACAGCAATAGGCCATGCTAGCAGTTGTGGGTACAACTTACAGCATAGGCCAGACCCGCGGCCACAGGTGTCCCCAAAAGCCACGAGTGCCACTGATAGCTACACGCTATGCCAGCAGCCACAGGTGCCACTGACAGCCATAGGCCAGACCCACAGCCACAGGTGTCCCCAACAGCCACGAGTGCCACTGATAGCTACGGGCTGTGCCGGCAGCCACAGATGCCTCTGACAGCCATAGGCCAGACCCGCGGCCACAGGTGTCCCCAAAAGCCACAGGTGCCACTGATAGCTATAGGCTGTGCCAGTAGCCACAGATGCCACTGACGGCCACAGGCCAGACGCATGGCAAGGGTGTCCCTAATAGCCATGGGCCCACCTGCAGCCATGGGTGCCTGCTGACAGCCATAGGCCAGGTCCATGGCCACATATGTCCCTAACAGCCACAGGTGCCACTGACAGCCATGAGTTCTGCTAACAGCAATAGGTTCCACTAAAAGCCACAGCCAGACCAAGAGCCAGAGGTCCCACGGACAATTTCAGGCCATGTTGACAGCCACAGATCCCACTGAGCCACAGGCCCCACTGACAACTACAGGTCCCCGAGAGCCACAGGCCATGCCTACAGCCCTGGGTCTCGTGGGATTTTTGGCCTGGAGCCACAGAGAAACCCAAGTGAGGAATAAAAAGAAGATTCTGTAAACAGTGACAACCTCTGGTAACAAACATTATACGATTTGGTGAGAACATACACACGCTCTGCTCTCTGCCACAGCGTGTGTGGACACACAGAAACTTTACAAAAATAGCAATGATCCGAGAATACTCCGTTGTTTTTCTGCCTGACAGTCATTGAATAATTTATACAAGGTTAAAGAAACGTAAAAAATAAACATTTGTTTTTTGTTTTTGGTTGTTTTGTTTTTTACACAAAATAAACTATGCACACGGCCTTGGCCTCCTATGGTCCGGCACGGGTGTGATGCCAGCAAGGGGTTCTGGGTCCCAGCCCGGCAGCAGCCCTATTCCCTGCCAGCATGGTGCACTAGCTTTGTGCTCCTGACCGTGCGGTTGTCCACTTTGGGCCCTGGGCCCCAGCGGGCTGGCTTCCCCAAGGAGCTGCTGGGGTCTTTGGTGAATTTGTGTGAGAGGAACTTCTCTGCCTCTGGGGAGTCCTCATCTCCGCGGCCAAGCTCCTCTTCCTCCTCGTCCTCCCCACTAGCCCCGGGGCCGGTGGGCCCAGGCAGTGCCTCGCCCGCCCTGCGTGGCGGCGGCGTGAAGTTCTTGCACTGATAGAGCACGTCCTTGTGGGCCCCGGTACCCAGGCCACTGTTGCCTGGCCGCTCGATGGGGTTGCGGATGGGATTGAGCGGGGCCCACTGGTTGTTGGTGCTTTCATCCCGTGGCAGCCGACTCCTCTCACGCTCTTTCCTGCGCTTTCGTGTCCACCACACACAGATGACCACGCAGGCCAGCCACAGCACGCTGAACATGCTGCACAGCACAGGCACCAATAGACCTGGGTAGGAGGAGAAGCCATGAGCATCCCAGGGTCCCTGCAGCCTCAGCAGCGCTCCTCTGGCTTCTAGGATAGGAGCTGGGTGGTGGGAGGTGCCTCAGCCCTCTGTGTCTACAGGGCAGATTCCAACTGCTTCAGCTCACCTGTGGAGGAACCACCCATGACGACTGTCTCCACTTTGACCTCAGTGACAGCCAGCAGCAGCGAGCTGTTCCCCCGCTGAGTGATGGCAGCCACAATGGCATGAGCTGTGTTCTGGATCAGGCTGCTGTCAGGCAGGTCCCTCGCAGGGCTGAAGGACTGGGGCAGAGAATGGCACTGTGGGGTCAGCCCAAGGACACCCTGCCCACATCCCAAAAGCCTGCCCCTAAAGAAGAGGCCATGGCCATTGCCTAAACCCTGGCCAGTGCCCAGCTGGCTGCACAGAGACCTGCCACATGTAGGGCCCACACCAGGGCTAAGCTGCACTTGTCAAGCACCTGGAAGAGCCAAGGAACGAGGGGCTCATTGGAGGAGGGTCTTGATGCAGAGATACACCCGCCAGGCAGATTCAAGGTATAGCCTGACCCTGTCTCTGCTGAACCCCTGTATACTTCAGGGGCACAGGCTTTTCTCAGTGCAGTTCCCAGGTCTGCACCCCAAAAGTGACACAGGCCAAGCCAGCTCCCACACCCCCATCTTCACTTGTGTTCCTTTGGCAATGGTGCCGAGACACCATACAGGAACCGTGCCCAAGGCACGTTCTCCTCTCCTTCCTCCCTAATCTCTGCACCTGCACCACCACACACCACAAGGCCACCTTGCCCTTCTGACAGCTCCTCCCTGTGGTGTTCTCCCCTTGGCCGCCCCAGCCCCACCAGCTCACAGCCGCTTCTTCCAGGGCAGTTCTAGAACATTCCTTCGCACTTCCCTTACACATGCTAAGGACCCTGCCGAGAGCTGATGTCTACAGCTTCAGAACAGAGGCACAAGAAGAGACTTGTGCTGTACGACTAAGCCAGGGGTCCCAGCGGTCACAGCCTATGCCTCCTCTGAAACCTGACACCCCGGCGTGTCTCTCACTGGCCTGGTGCCCATCCCCTCATCTCTCTGCAGCCTGGGCCAAGGTCTGCCAACATCTCCGTCCAACCCTGCCTTCCATACCACACAAGCAGCACGGTCCCCCTGAGATGAGTTCCTTGTCTACCCTACTGGGCTCTGGTCCCTTCCTCATGGTGGGGACCCCACCTAACATCCTTGGTCTGTGTATCAAGCACCTGACCTCATGGACTGCCAATGACCACCAACCACCCCAACCTTGAACATCTTGGTGGTCCTCCCTGGCAAACTCCAGGCTTGGGCCTCTCACTGCTGTGTAAGTGAGTGTAGTTTCCCACCTGGCCACACTAAGTCACAGAGATGCCCTGGGTTGGTGCCAGGTCCAGCTCCTACCTCAGTTCCCTTTGTTCTGTGCCTCTGTCCTACCTGATAAACATCTTCCCTCCTGATGTTTGCAACTGTCCCACGGGCTGCCAGTGTCACAGCCACTGTGTGCTCAGAGGCCTGTTCAGGCTCCCCACACACTCACCAAAGCCACCTCCACAGCACTGGCCCCTGAGGAAGCACGATCACAGAGCAGCAGTAGGAGGCGGTCGCGCGCCACTGCCCTGGTGGCAGGCAAGGCACGGATCCCGGAGCAGATAGCGCCCACGGTGGTGCCCTGGGCAGATGAGCAACACGTAAGCGGGGCCTGAGGCCAAGACCTGAGGGCACATCCCTGTGCTGGCAAGGGCTGTCCAGGTAGCAGGACAGGGACAGTGGGTGCCTACCCCGCCCCCCATCTTTACAGCAGCAGCTCTATCTGCAGGCAACAGAGGAAGGTGAAGGAAAGTGAGGGAGTCAGCAAGGTGGGTATCACGGAGTCTAGCACCTTTGTCCTGGGGACAGGCAGGCCGGCTCTAAGCACTCAGATGAGGTCGGGACCCTATCAAAACAGCAACTTTTCTCTTGAGTGGCAAGCCGCCACCCAGAGTAGGGCAGCCCACACAGCCTGCAGTACAGGCCCTTGGGACCCTGGACAAGTGGGCAGCCCAGCCAGTGTCCTGGGCCCAGTGCTCCCTCATGTGAGCCCACTGGTGGGCATCTAGACATGGGCTCCTGACCCCATGGGAGCTAAGCCACGGCCAAGTAACTACTTTAGGGGCTGACTGTGGAAGCCTCAGTCTATGGGGATCACTTACCTGAGGCACTTGGTCTCGGTTAAAGCGCAACGTGAGGCGTGCACAGTTGTTGTCCAGGTGGGTGGACCGTGGCAGGCAAGGGGTGCTGGGCAGCAGGTGTTCCTGTGCTGTGCACTCACCCCAGGCCTCACAGGGCGGCTGCAGACACTGGCCCAGGGCCTTCTCCCGGCACTGCTGCCCCGGTGGGCACTGGGCACTCAGAGTATCGGGCTGACTGGACAGCAGACAAGGCTTCCACCCGCACCACACCTGGGACAGACACATCCAGGAGGGACGCAGCGGGGCGTGGAACCACAGGTAGCCACAGGGCGCACACAAAGACAGACACGGTTGGGTCAGTGAGTTCCAAGCTCATGCCTTCACCACTCCGGCCCAAGGAGGCAAGGCCAAACTCCACACCAGGAGGGACTTTCTGCCAAAGCAGGGCCCAGGCTGAGCCTCAGTTTCCCCAACTATACTGGGCCCAGGGCAATTCCCAGTTCACTCCCCTAGAGTGACCACCGGAGCGGGCAACCTTGCTCACTCCTGCCCCTATCTCCACACCAGCCTCGGGGTGTCCTCGTGAGCCTAAGCGCCGAGGGTACTCAGGGTCAGGGTGCAAGAGCAGTGGGTGAGGAGCTGGCCCACCTTGCTGCAGTCTCTGTGGCCATCCAGGCAGCGACAGCTGTTGCAGTCCTCCATCCAGGAGCTCCCGTGCGGGAAGTCTGTGCCCCGGAACCAGCAGGACCTCCCGAATCCAACCACTGGGGGAGAGCACAGAGGTTCAATGTGGCGTTCAGGCCTGCACCCTGACCGACGTGGTTACGGTCAGCCTACCTTCCTGGCACCTGGGGCCGGCTCGACCTGGTGGGCAGCTGCAGCGATACCCGTTGATCTCATCCACACAGGTGGCCCCGTAGGCACAGGGTGAGGACTGGCACTCGTCAATGTCTGCAGGCAAAGTGGCTGTGTGTTTGGGAAGGGCAGGCCAGCATCCCACACAGGGACCAGGATATGGGTGGTGATGCAGGAGTGTGGCCTCAGGCCACCTGTTCCACAGCAGCATAAGGTGGGACAGCTGCTGTCACTGTCCCTCAAGCAGTCTGAGGCATTTTAGCTCCTCCTCTGCACTGTATGCAGGGACCTCTGTATGCAGAGACCTCCCAGGTGGTCCCACTGCCAGGGACCATACCCACAAAAACAGTCTCACAGCCACAGGTAAGCACAAGCATTCTGCCTCTGTGGCCCATCCTCCTCCTCCTCCATGACCTGAGCTGTCTCCTCAGGGTAGAACCCCCTCTTATCATTCAGCAGGGTACACCCAGAAACCCACAGGACATGGATGTGTGGCTTGAAGAGGCAAGACAGGGCTATGGCTGTGCGGTCTGTCGGGATACAGCTGTCTATGCCCTCTAGCACTTGACATCGAGGTTGGCTGGAGGGGCCCCAGGGAGGAGCCCCCACCACAACTCTTGCCATCCACCCAGGCTGCTTACTGATGCGACAGTCAGGACCCGCAAAGCCAGGTGCGCACTCGCAGCGGAACCAGTTGACACCATCAACACAGATGCCTCCGTTGTAGCTGCAGGGAGAGGGTTGGTTAATAAGTTGGGGGGGCCTGCCCCCACCATGGTGGGCCCTGCCCCCCACCAGCCTCCTGGTTTGCCACTCACCAGGGTAGAGGGTTGCAGTCATTGGTGTCTGAATTTGAAGGGAGAGATACAGTAGTTAATCCAACACACACTTGCCCAGTGCACCTCTGTGGTAGACCGTGTGCCTGAGGCTCGTGGGTAGACACTATCCTGTCCACGCCGGCCTGGCACAGCCATCAGAGGAGCACCAGACAAACCTATAGTTAAGGTAGGGTAGGGCCTGTATCTCAGCCAGAGCCCCAGGCTGCGGGGTGGTGGGTCAGGAAAGGTGGATAGACACTGCAGATCTGGTAGGGAGGAGAATTAGGAGACAGCAGAGCAGGTCTTGGGGTCTGGAGAGGTGAAGTGGACAAGTGGAAGAGCAGATCCCCAGGGCAGAGTCGGGCAAGGCTGTGATAAAAGGCAGCAGAACCTCCCCCCGCCCAGGACCCCCAGACCCTTCGGCTCACTGTGTGTACAGGTACGGCCCTCCCAGCCATCCCGGCAGATGCAGGAGAAAGAGTCTCCACTGCCCACACAGGTACCCCCATTCACACAGGGGTTGGGCAGGCAGCTGCTGTTCTTAGCTGTGAGGAGGGAGAAGAGGCCGCTTGTGGGGCCTGGGCAGAGCTCACACAGGTAAGGCAGGCAGCCCAGGGCAGAGGGAGTTAGCAGGGCTGGGGCTGGGCTGGCCTAGCTCACCTACGGTGCAGGTGCTGCCTTTCCAGCCTGGAGGGCAGGCGCAGCGGAAGGTATCTCCACTGTCGTAGCATGTGCCGCCGTTGCTGCAGGTATAGGCGTCGCACTGGAACTCGCCTGCAGGCACACGGCCACTCAGCAGGCAGGCCGGATGGACCATGGCAGGGTCCTGGCAGGCAGCCCCCCACTTGCTCTTTGCAGGGGCCCCGGACACTCACGAGAGTGGCAGGTCTTGCCCTTCCAGCCATCGTCACAGGCACAATAGAAGTCATTGACCAGATCATAGCAACGGCCGCGGCTGTGGCAGGGGTCGGGGAGGCAGTCGTTGGGATCTGGGGGGAGGACGCCGGTCAGCGGGGATCACCGGCGCTAGGGAGGGCTTCACAGAGATGAGCGAGAGCTGGGCCCGAGTACAGGGGATCCTGGGATTCACCCCGTGACTTCGGGCATGGGTTTGATAGGAATGTAGGGGTGGGCCCGCGGGAGTCGGGTGGAAGGCACAGGTGTGGAAGAGCACACTCACTAATGTCGCAGAGCTCGCCCTCCCAGCCACTGGGACAGAAGCAGCGGAAGGCATCCACCTCATCGATGCACGTGCCTCCGTTGCGGCAGGGCTGGCCCAGGCAGTCATCGATGTCTGTGGGAAAGGGTAAGTGAGCTGTCCCCATGGCCCACAGCCCCACCCCAGTCTGCTCAGTACACCACTCACTCTCATGACAATAGGTGCCTGTAAAGCCGCTGTCGCAGATGCAGGAGAAGTTGCCCCCAGGCTGGCTGACACAGTGCCCATGAGGGCCACATATGCCAGAGGGTGCCACAGCATGTGCCCTGGACCCTGCCTCGAACCCGCAGCCATCAATCACTGTGGGGAAGAAATGGGCAGGGGTCAGCCCCATTTCCACCCAGGTTCCCACCCTGCCTGGGGTCGCAGCCCGCACCTCTACAGGCCCCACCAGGGCAGGGCTCCCTGGGCACCGAGCAGTTCTTGCCACCAAAGTCTTCTGGGCAGGCACAGTAGTAGTCACCCTCGAGGTTATAGCAGCGAGCACCATTCAGGCAGGGGCTCGGCTCGCAGAGGTCCACATCCACCTGCAGGAAAAGAAGGATGTGCACCTGTGCAAATCCACCTGTAGATGGAGATGCTGCCTAGCATGGACCCTCAGCCCTGGACAGGGCAGTGCCAAGTGGCGCCTGAAGTTCCTACCCACCCCAGAACGTCTAAGTGCTGTCAGCTGTACGGAAACACCTGTGGGCCAACAGCCCTGCTGCCTTCGCCTCCACAGCAGCCAAGCTTCCTCTGCCTCCCACAGGCAGCATCCGGCCTTGGCTCCTCCTGCCGGCAGGAAGGCCAGCTCCTGACCCCCACACTGCCAGGCCAAGAAGTCCTTCCCATAGCCAGCATCTCCATGTTCCCTGGACTTGAGGCCAGGCCTCTGCCATGGGCCCCAAAAAAGCCCACAAGGCAGGAGGCTCACCATTCGTACAAAGGCCAGAGCAGAACCATGTGTAGCCCAGGGGGACCAGGGTGGGCACTAAGGGAGGGTGTCCAAGGGGTGGTGAGGACATCAGCCCTGAGGAGAGACACCCCCTTCTGACCAGTTCCACCCTTGACCCGTGATGACTCCACACCACCAGGAGCTTGATTCTGCCTTGGGGTCTTCAGGCTGCCCACCTGCCTGGTCCCCTCAGAAGAACATGTGAGCACATGAAGCTCCTAGTCACTTTCCAGAAGTCTGTTGTGACAAACAAGGGTTGCATGATTCTACGAGCCCCCACTTAGCTCCTGAAGACAGTGTGGGAACTACTCCCTGAACACTGTAAGCAGAGTTCCCACCAGGTCACTACCTCGCAAAGTGGCCCAGAGAGGCCCCGTGGGCAGTGGCAGCGGAAGCCATCCACCAGGTCCTCGCAGATACCGCCCCGACGGCAGGGGCTGCTGGCACACTCGTCACGCTCTATCTCGCAGTGCCGGCCTCCAAAGCCCCGTGGGCACACGCACTGGTACCCATTTACCAGGTCCTAGGCATGTGGACCAGGGGAGGGAGGGTGAGCCTCCATCCTTTGCCCCTCCCGCCACACACTCCCCCTTCACAGTCCTAGTGGGAGAGACACCCCCCTCACCCCTCCAGCCACATACTCTATCCCCCCCTCAGTCTGGGGGGGGCATATGACAGCCTCCTTACCTTGCAGGAGCCTCCGTGCTGACACTGCCCACGACAGTCATTGATGTCTGAAGGCAGAGGGGAACGGGGGGCAGGGTCAGGAGAGCCCTCCGTGCTCCCCAGCCCCACCCGCCTGCGTCGCCCACCCATACTGACTGATGTGGCAGTTGATGCCCTTCCAGCCCGGGAGGCAATCACAGTAATAGCCGCCAATCAGGTTTTTGCAAGAAAAAGCATTAAGGCACGGCTTCCCTTCACACTCATTGGCGTCTGTGAACGAGACAAGGGGAGCTGTGGGGCTTGGACCCCACTTGCCCCCTGTGCCCTGCGCCTGGCAGCCAGCAGCCAGCAGCCCCAGCCACATGCTCAGCACACAGTCCATGCATGAATGGCCCCCAGGGAGCCCTTACCCAGCTGGCAGGTAGCCCCCACCCACTGTTCGGGGCAGATGCACTCAAAGCCGTCCACCTGGTCCACACAGGTGCCACCTGCTGCACATGGGTTGGAGGCACACTCATCGATGTCTGCAGGGATTAAAGAGATGTGAGGGTGTAGCCAGTGGGTGTAGGGAGTTGCCAGTGACCACGAGATCACATCTAGTGAGTGTGGGAGCAGCCAGTAAATGGGGACATGGACCATGAGGGCTGCACCAGGGAGGCATAGTCCCATGGAAAGAAGCAGGAGCCAACTGTTTGGCTAAATCTCCACAGCACAGTGGACTCACCCTCTCATCCATAACCCAGGGTGCTACCCACTTCCTGCCTTGTGGAGCCCCCAGGCACTCAGACACTTACCAAGTGCACAGGTGGGTCCACTCCAGCCCGACGGGCAGTGGCATTCAAAGCCTGATGGCACTTCGTGGCATGAACCCCCATTGGCACACGGGTTGGAGGCACAGGCATGCTCAGCTGCAGAACCAGAGTAGGGGTGAGTAGGGTGGTGGCAGGGGCCCACCAATCTCAAGCACTCTTTCCCAAGCCCACCAGTCCCGGAGTCCACTGGGGTACAGCCCAAGGTACTGAGAGATGGGCTCAGCTGGGCTCCCTCGGAACCAGCCCTACATCTGGCCAGAGCTCACTGCCCAGCATGCCAACATACCCCGCTCGCAGTTCTTCCCCAAGTAGCCCTCTGGGCAGGCGCAGTGGTACTGATCGGGCTCAGCGTTGATACAGGTGCCCCCATTGACACAGGGGTGGTGGCTGCCGCAGTAGTTCAGATCTGGGCACAGGGGTGGCTCTCAGGGATGGGATCAGCCTGTCCTCAGCTTCAGAGTGAGCTGCAGAACTAACCCTGCCCACCTGCCCCCTGCCCACCTGCTCCCTGCCCACCATCTACCTTTGTCACAGAGTAGGCCACCCCAGTTGGTCTCACAGTCACAATGCCAGGGCTCCACACAGCTGCCGTGCACACAGCCGGGGTAGGGAACACACTCATCACAGAACTTGCCCTGCCAGCCATAGCTGCACCTGGGGGACCGAGCAGTCAGGTCATCAGCTGGGCAGCTGAGTAAGGCAGGCGTGGAAGAACAGGCCGGAAGCACAGGACACCCTCACTGGGCCTCGGCCCTGGAGAGCCGCTCTGAGCCAAGCCATGGTTATAGCCCAGGGGCCAGCCCCACTGTCACGGGCATTCCTGGCCACTGGCTGAGACAGTCGGCCCAGCTGTCCCGTCACTCCTCCCCGAGCTATTCTAGGATGCAGCCCTGAGCCAGGCCCCACGAACAGGCGCCGGGAAGGAAGGCCCAGCCGGGGGAGGCCCAGGGATGTAGCGCCAGCTCCTGCTAGCCAAGCACTGTCAGGGCCACAGCAGTGACTGGGGTCTGGAAAGGACGAGGAGACATCAAAAGGCCCTGGCCACCCTGGCCCAAGGACTGTGTGACCTTGGGCACTGCCCATGTCCTCACTGCTATTCAAGGGAAGCAGTTTCCCTGACGCCTAGCAGAGCCCCACACGGTACATCTCACCTATAGGCTGCCCAGCCAGCCCTATCCGAAGCCACATTGGCCCAGAAGGAGAGCCCAGGATGTGGCCCTGAGGATCTCTCAGCTGAGGCCACAACCCTCATGCCTGACTCTGCCCACACTGTGTGGGTCAGCATCCCCTCTGGGGAGTCCCTCGGGATACAGGCAGGCAGTGTAGATCTGGCAGGCGAGAGCACAGGGTACCAGTAGGCTGCCCTCTGGGCCGTGGACAGGACTCTGGGGGCCCCTTCCTTGAAGACTAAGGTCCTGTGGGGCAGGAATGACGTTCAGGCCACGTCACTTCCACGCCGCCAACCGCCACAGGAGTTATTTTTATAGAAGGAAAAACCACAGCCCTTCCTGAACTGCCCTGAAGCCACGCACATGGGCGGTCATCAGCCCAGCTCACCCAGGCTCACCCAGGGAAACTGAGGCTGGGGAGCAGGTAGCTCCAGGATCCAGCCCAGCATGCCCAAGGCAGGTCCACAGTGGGCCTCACACCCCAACCTGGAGTCTTCTCTCCAGGTGCTGAAGGGAGTTGAGAGGTAGGATGGGGTTGGACTAGACTTGGTTGTCCACCAGGGAGCACCAGAGCAAGCTCTGAATCTAGACCTCCTGTGTTCCAAGGGCAGGTTCTCCACCCTGGGCAGGCCATCCCCCACCAGACCCCACCTTGTAGCTTCCCGCCAGCAGCTCCAGGGGCTTGGGGAGGGGGCAGGAAAGTGCAGCCATCTCCGCAGTAGCATCCGGTCCAGGGAGGGGTGTCCTCTGCTGAAACCTGAGCCCTGGACAGCGGGAGGCCACTTGGCCTCACCCACTGGGCCAGGGAAAGGCAGATGGCACACACCTACTGACCCTCAGCCCTCTCTCCAGTGTTCCTGCCCTTCATGTACAGTCCATGGCTTTCCTGCTCTGTGGAGAGGGCAACTTGTCTCTCACCTCCCTCCTGCCCAGCACCGAATATGCAGGGACAGAAACTGGCACAGCCATTGAGGTGACGCACTACCCACAGGGCCAAGGAGAGGGCGGGGCTGAGGTTAGGCCTCTGTGCTCACCACCCAGGGACCACATCTGCCCAGAACTCTGTGTCCATCTCCAGCACACTGACCAGAGCAGGGCTACAGAAGACCACACTAGGCAGAAAGCTATCCCCGTGGATTGACCCTCCCTTCTAGAACATGGCTCCTGAGACGATTCTCTTAAGACTAGCACACCCTAGGCTAGGTCCTGTGTTGTGCTCCCCACGCTACCTGAGGCCTGCTCATCCTACCTGAAACCACGGTGTACACAAGAGACAGATGGGAATCCCCTGAACACACACCCTTCTTACCCTGAGACTGGTCTGACTGCCATTCATAACACCGCCCAGGGTTGATGCCACTACATCACTCCCCAAACACCAAACTCCTTGCTCCTGGCCACCTTCTCCAGATTCAACACCATGTAACCTTAGAAGTCACTTAACTACATGTGCCTCACTGTCCTTGTCAGAAAGCACACACGAAACACACCCAGCCCTCAGGGTGCCCAGGGTCTAGTGAAGGCCAGGACAGCAGGGAGGTTTTGCTCTGCTCCCTGCTGTGGCTCCAGCACCCTGTAGCCTCCCGACCCTTCTCCCAGGACCCCCTAGTACCTCGGGATGCTTCCCCACTCATATACCAGGAGCATCAACCCTTGCTCCCACTCTGCTCCGCCCTTTCTACCCACCAACCTGACACGACCACCCCCACAATGCTTCAGAGGGCTTCTACGCTCTACTCTTAGCTGCAAGACCCCCTCCTGGCCTCCCTTTGATCCCAACTTCCCAACTCCTGTTTACAGACCTCCAGCTGTGGTGGGCCAGGATCACTCCCGGCCTCTCTTCTCCACCCAACCACACCGCTCCCTGCAGATGTCCCCCCATGTGCCCTGTCTCCCACTACCACTTCATGTGGTTCTTCCCACCCCTCTCTTGACGGAGCCCTTCTTCTACCCTAGACCTAGTCACGGTCTCTCCCACTGGCACACTGTGACGCCCCACTCTGGTCCTCTGTGTGGGAGACTTCTATCAGAGTAGCTCTCTTCCCACCCCAGGTCTCTCTGCCCCTTGGTACAAGTGCCTGACCACCCTCCCTTGTCCCCTCCTAGCTGTCCTATCCAATGACCATCGGATATACCACATGCCCAGGACAAGCACTGCCCCCATCATGGCCAGAGCATGAAGGGCAGGGTGCACCTCTGCTCTCCAGCACCTGACCTCCCACATGAATCACATACTTTATGGCCTCTGCTGGAGCCCATAGTGTTCCAGCTGCTGCAGGCTCAACAGCAACTTGGGCAAAGAAGGGCAGGCACGGTGCTCACCTGCACTCCCCAGGTACAGCGCATCCCCCGTGGAGCAAATTACATCCTTGTTTACACACGGCTGGAATAGAGGGGTAGAGAGGCACAGCTGCAGCCAGGCAGGCTGCCCTGACCCCATGCCCACGTCCACTGCCGCCCCGGGAGCCCCTTACCTTCCTTGCACTCCTTGCCCATCCAGCCATCCATGCAGGCCTTGTTACCATACTGATCGCAAGTATAGTGGCCGAAGAAGTCATTGCGGGGCCGGCAGAACTTGTTGCAGGTAGCGCTGTAGTAGTTCTCGTCACAACGCACTCGAATCTGCAGCTCCAGGTGGGCCACGTGGCCGCTGAAGTGCAGGCTCTTCCAGCGGTCCTCGGGGTTGATCATGCCGGCGTGCGACACCCGCTCGATCAGTAATTCCTCTTTGGGAGCAGCACAGGCAGTCAGCTATGGGCTACCTGGCAGTCCCCAGGGAGCACAGTACAGACAGCCTCGGGAAGGGAGAGGGGGCAACAGGGCAGCCAGGCAGATGAAGGCCACCACCCCTAGAGGAGCCAGGGACAGTAGGCAGGAGCAACACTGTCTGGGTCACCGTGGGAAGGTCGGGTCAGAAGCCCTAGCCAGCCTCCAGGCCTGGGAGCCAGCACTCCTGTTCCATCCACACAGAGATAGGATCAGGAGGACTGCAAGCTCTAAATTCCCACACCTGAGTCTACTACTGCTTGCCACACCTACTGGGCACCACACCAGCCCTGGCCCACACGAGGATGAACTGTCCTCTCCTCCCTCCTGCACCGCAGTGCTGTCCAGACCCATCTTAAAACCAGCTTCTAGAACTCCAGGCACATGGGCTGGGCTGCCCCAAGGCCAGGGCTCTGAGTGCACTGAGGCAGGTACCCCAAGCACACAGCAAAGGTGCCCTCCACCGCTCTGATCACAGAGCACGGGCCCAGCTGAGTCCTTGGTGCCCCAGGCTGCTGCTCTTCCTGGCAGGCCTTGCACCAGACCCATCATCCTGTTCTTGTCAAGGCCCCTGATGGCCTTCGCTGAACCCTGCCCTAAGCTACTTGCTCTCCTGTCTCCCTTTCAGTTCATGTGTTCCTGGCACCATCGCTGGCGGGCCTGGGTCTCATCCTACCTCAGCACCTACATGCTTACATGCATCACCCTGGAAGGTCTCATGGGGTCACACTCAGGTCCAATCCATCAACCAACCCCAGCCTCTACTTTCAAGAACAGCCAACAGCCAGAACCCCTTCATCCCTCAGCTGCATCTGCCAGCCTCCTGATGGTCCCAATGCACAGGCAGCCTCTTCAATGCCTTTGTCTTGGCCCTGCAGACTATGTCCATGTGGCAGCCTGACCAACCCACCACCAGGGAGAGGCCAGCGTTCTCACTGGCCATGGAGTCTCCTTGACCCAAACCCTGCCTTGCTGACCTCCTCATCCTCCAACTTCAGTAACCCCACATAGATCTTCAAACACAGGGTTTGATCCTGCCTTGGGGACTTAGCATCTGCTCTTCTCTCTGCCTGAGGCTCTTCCTCATCTGGCCACAGAAAATCCTCATCACTGAAGGGTCTGACACACCCCCAACTGCCTCCCCAGTGCACAGGCCAGCCAGCTTTGGGGAGATGGCTCTCAAGCTTCATGTTCCAGGACAGAGAAGGGGCCACAAAGCCAGAGAGCCACTTGAGAGAGCCCACTATATCCCTACAGGGGTGCTGAAGAGATGCACAGAAGAGATGTACTGTTGACAAGTCAAAGAACGGCACACCCAGCTCTGCAAGGCCACAAATGCAGAGAGCTTCCTGACAGCCAGAACAAAACTGGGGAACCACACAAGATCCTATAGGTACACGAGCCTGTTCGCAGCAGAGCACCAGGGACCTGGCCACCAGCACTCCTGCGGCCAAGGGGACCAGCTTCCCAGAACCTTGAGGTTAGTCCTTCTGGCAGCCTCCCTCCCTCTACCTATTCCCCCAGTGCGGGGGCACACTTACCATCTGGTGTGGTGTCATTGTCCCAGTCCCAGGCCTCCACGATGAGGGTGAAAGAACGCTACAGATACAGGGGATGGCTGGTCAGTGCTTGAGCTCCCCCACCCCGCTGCTGTACAGAGCAGGGCCAGGGTGCATGCCAAAGACCCCATCTCACAGCCCTGTGGTACCCTCCCCCAGCACCAGCTCCATCTCCCCTGCAGAACCAGATACCACAGCTCAAAGTAAAGGATTCCTCCTGGAGGCAGAGTACCTCTACCCCTGTACCTCACTGACCTCCGACCTGAGGTTGGGAACATGCAGTCCCGTTACAAGTCCACTTGAAAGGGACAATGCCCTGCCCACCCAGCAGCCCCTTTACCAGGCACATGGAAGTGCTTACTCAAAGGCCCCCAATAGGCCCACTCAGGGTGCTGACCCCGAATACATAGCAGGTACACGGTGAGACCCACAACTCTAACGCCAGGACAGGGACAGGGACAGGAATACGAGGGACCCTTGCTGTACAAGTGGGGATACAGAGGCTCAAGAAGTGCTGTGCCCAGCACGGCCTCAGCCCATAAGCATGGCCACCCCCCACCATCTGTCCCTCCTGCCCCAGGCTATGGTGATGAGTGCTGCTGTCAGCTGTTACCTTGGCAACACAAGGTCCACCCCTGTGGGAGGGTGACCCAAGTCCACAGTGCCTGGTCCCTCAGGCACTCCCTCCCCTGTAGCTGGCTGTGCTAGGGAGACCACATGTTCCCCTGGAGAGCAGAGGACCCAACTGACCATTCCCTCTGCCCATATCCTCTCCTGATTCCCCAATGCCCCATCCAGCCGTGCAGGGCCCTGGCCTTTCCAGAACTTCTCAGCTCATTCCCTACCCAGCCTGTGGCCCACCATATCTAGCCTCACCTGGCCTGGCCTTGGAGATCCTGTCCTGGTCTCCACCCATCTCCTGCACCTCAATGTAAGGTGCTTCCTACTCTGGCATCTCCTGCAGAGCACCTGCTTCCAGACACAGGGACTGTGCCAAGGGTAGGGGGCAAGCAGAGTCACTGGTCCCCTCTAGAAGACTCCCTGGCTCAAGGGACTACGAACAGGCTTCTCAATTCTACCTCTCAAGTCCCCCTTAAATGACCTGGGCCCACCCCAACTGCTCCTTTCCCTTGTTTCTCAGAAACCACAAGGAGGCTCTTCCCTACTAAGTCAGGGACCCAAGTCAACTTCACGGCTCTGTCCTCACCTGCCAGGGTGCAAAGCCCACTTGGCGCTCTCTACAGCTCCTGCCTTCACTCCAGCGCACCACCAACAGCCTGGAAAGCCATCCTCAGGGTCTCTACTTGGTCAAATCTAGCCCCCTAATGACCGCTGGGCACCCAGCCCCTCCCCAGACCTCACCATCCTGTTCCTTCGGTTTCCCTCATTCACTTGTTCATTCATGGGCAGAGCACAGCTCAGACACTGTCTACAACCTCTGTACCAACGGATGGAGCCCAGGGAAGATGAGGAGCAGGCTAGGGTCATACAGGTCCCAAGAGGACTAGACTACAAGCCAAGGGAGGAAGAACTCCAAGGAGACTGGAAAGAAGGCAGCAGAGCCAAGAGGGTGAGGGACAGGGGACACAGCGGGCCAGACCACAGAGGGCACAGACCCCAGTGTGAACATTACCACCAAGTCCCAGCATAACAGGTAGCCACCGGGGCCCGAGGTCAACAATTCTACACTAGCTCTGCCACTGGGTGAGAGCAGGGAGCAGATGAAGTATGAGAGGCTAGGCTAGGCTATGCCCAGATCACCACTAACACCATTGGAGGCCAAGTCTACCAGCCAGGCTCAGCAGCTCCAGCTACAGGGCAAGCAGAAAAGCCTGGGCCTGAGGCCTGGACTCCCCGCACGCACCTGGGATTCGGGCAAGCAGAGAGCACTCCCAGGAAACCCACGCCAGCCACACAGGTAGGGTTACCGCCACCTCTGCCTGAGCCCAGGGCTCCGGTTACCTGCTCCCGTGGGGACATGCGCCCGCCTGCCGCCCAAGAGGGCCCTGTCGCCCGCCAGCTGGGCTCCCTACACCTGGACGGCAGGAAGTCATCCAGGGAGAACCTGAGCTGGCAGGCGGGTGGCACCTGTGGCCTCTCCCCACCTGCCACAGTGGCCCACCAGCTCCTCCCCTCCCTCAGCCTCCAGGACTACATCCCCCACTTCGAACCCCTGCCTGGGAAGCCAAATCCTACAGTATGGTGGCATGGTGAGTGTGGGTCCCATGGCAGATCTGGGGTCATGAGAAAGAATGAAGTGGGGACTTGGGGCCATCAGTGTCTGTGGGGACTGGGAAAGCTGGGAGACTGTGGATAAGACAGAGAGCCACCACTGGCCTGGAGTGTCCAGAAGCCGATGGAAGAACCTGGTTCCTCCTCCCAGGTCAGCCCACCTGGGCCACCTGCCTGCCAGCCCAGAGGTCTATGTAGCAGGGCCTCTTCCCACAAGCCTGGCCCCAGACACGCCCCCAGACCAACTCCATCACCACCTGGCCAAACCCCCAAGCCTAACTGTAAACCCCCCACCCAGCCATTAGACAAGGCTAACAAGACAGCAAGACAAACAGAAATGGCAGACCTGGAACCAGGTATGCTACACCCCAAGGCCAGGGCACCCAGTAGCCCAGGCCAGCCCAGCCTCAGGTCCAAGGCTCCACCCTGGTTCTTCCTCAGCACCCTAACTTGGCCCCCCACAGAGCTCAGCACTTGCTGCCAGTGCCAGAAGCCCTAAGCACAGATACATTTCCTGAAACCCGAGCTTTGATGAGGCCCAGGGCTCTACCACCATTGTCACCGGAGGGACTGGGGGAGGGGCAAGCCCCTCAGGCTCAAGGCCTCAGAACCATAGCAGGAGGAAACAGTAGGTCACCACATGCCAGAGCTTAGACATCCATGCTCTGTATCAGAGACCAGCCAGGGCTTTGCCTGGGTGCTCCACCAACCCTCTGGTGGAGGCCCCAGGCTCCCACACTGTGAAGAGGGAGGGGCTCACAGTCCCCTAACACCTTCTCAGTGTCATCTGGGAACACAGCTGGCCCATGGTCAGGCTGGACCTGCCGACACGCAGCTCAGGAAGGGATCATGTGGACGAGGCTGGCCTTCAGGCTGGTAATTAGGGACCCCTTCTGGGTTCTGGGATTAGAGTTCCCTCATGTCACCACCACTCCCAGGTCAAGCTATGGCCTGAGTCTTCCAGGACCCTCACTGGGCCAGCCCCCCTTATTCCATCAAGATACTATGACGACCCCTGAGTGTCACAGTGTCTTCCCAGCCAACCCAGCTGCACAGAGTCCATCCCCCACCTGCCACACTGCAGCCCTGTGCTCCAGCCACTCCTGAGAGCCCGGGGCAGGGGGGTTGGCACAAACACACATCCATTTCTAGCTCTCTCTGCTTCCTGGGACCGCCACTTTGCTGGCCACTGAGAGACCTACTCTACCCTGTACCATACAGCCTTGAGCAAGACTCCCAGCCCATAGGGCAAAAGGCCAGATACAAAACAAAGCATCATCTGCCCCCAGCCCATCCAAGCAGGACTCTAGGTCCCACTAGGAAGGTGTGGGAGGAGTGAGCCTTGGCATGGGTGGGATGGAGAGACCAGTGCCCACACCAGCCCCAGTCCCACAGGCATGGTGGGCAGTGTGGCTCTCACATCAGCTCTGGTGTACCTGCTAGGCACAGATCCCAGACCAGTCCGCCTTGGTCAGATGGATGTGGGCAGGGCCAGACCCTGTGTCTAGCCTGTCCGATCTACCCCAGCACCCTCTATCCTGATCAGTCACAGCTTTCACCCCTCCACGCTAGGGGAGCAGCCCTTCAGAATACCTTCCTCTGCCACCCCCAAGCACACCATGGCCCTGAGGGAGTTTGACCTGTGCTGGACAGCCAACAGAGGGAGAGGAACGACCAGGGAGGTCCGGGAGCCACCCTGGGGACGTCAGGAGGAAGCCAGCTGAGCACTCTGCAGCCCCACTAGCCTCAAGAGTCCCAGTCAAAAAGACAGCCAGGGTACCCGGCTCAAGGGAGGAAAACCAAGCTACAGATTCCTGCTATGCCTCCCATCTCAGCTCTTAGGAGCTACAGAAGTAAGGTCAACCTCAGACCTGCCTCACTTTTCTCATGACCCTAGATCTGCCATGGGGCCCACACTCCACCATGCCACCGTACCTAACTGACCCTCTAAGACCTACAGGGCCCCATCACTGTTCTGTTACCAAGGAAATAGACCAGGAGCAGGGTGGGAGTGGGGATCGCCTGGGCTCAAACGGTGGTCAGGCATAGAGGCCTTCAGCAGAGCACTTCTCCTCTTCTGACAACTTTCCACAAGCCAGGGAGCCACTGTCCAGGCCAGTGACCACCTTGCTCCTCCCTCAGCCAACAGAGGCCTCCCGAACCCGCCAGACTCCAAAGGAGCTCCTGCTCCCCTCAGAACCCTCCATCAGCCACCTGCCCCACCCACAGAGCTCATGTGTGAATGAACACGGCCTCCAGACTGCTATGTATTATAGGCAGGTACCAGGGCCAAACCAGGAAAACGCCAACATCCTGTGGCCATCTTTGACATAAGGAGAGGAGGGGCAACCCCCTCCACATAACCTGCTGGGGGGTGTTACACTCCACATCCAAGACTCTGGGCCCACCCACTCAAGGAAGCTGAGACAGACACTGAGCCACAGCCACACAGTGCAGAGGCATGGCTTGTAGAAAGCCTGCTCTAACTTAGTCCACCTTCTACCCCAACCTATCCTTCCACAAGCCCCTCTCACACCCAAGGAACCCAAGTCCTAGCTAGTCTTGGAAAAAACCCCAAAGCCCTCCTGCCAAAGCTCCTGCCTCAGTCCCCAGGTTGCCTAGATATGGCCCTTGCTGTCCCCAGTGGCAGCCAAGTGCCCCAGTGGGCACCTGGATTCCTAACACACCCTGGCTCATGGGACAGAACTGAACTTGTGGCAAACTAAGCAGCATGGCCGCAGGGCTGCTGCTGCTGAGGAACGGAAATACCAAGGAGCTGGCATCACCGCACCATCCCTGGCAGCCTGGTCATGGAGCAGAAGGGGAGAAGGGAGACAAGAACTGCTCCCCGAACGCAGGACACCCCTCAGCCACAGCCCTCCACCAAGGCTAGAAGCCTACCCACTCCGGGGCATTTGAAGAACCATCCAGGAACAGAACGAAGAGAGGTGAGATGGCCCCAAGACCAGGTGCCCAGACTCCAAGGAAGGCAAGGGCCTGTCCCATCCCGTCCCACACCAACCAGCTGGCCAGCGGGGCCAAGAGCCACGAGGGACACAAGTTGGCCCGCCACATTCCTCCAGGCCCTCCCTGCCCCCACACCCACTGCTGCCAACTCGAACAGAAAACACATCCTCAGGTAGCGATTTGGAGCCACGCTGGCTCAGGCCCAAGTGCAGATGACAGGCTGCCGGCCCTGCTCAGACCTGCCTGCTGTGCTGCTGTGGGGGCGAAGGGGGCTGGGCCAATCACAACCGCCGGGGCCCCTCCCATGCCTGCCCCTGCCTTTTCTATCTCAGGGACACATTTCCTACCCCAAGGACCCAGGGCTGAGGATATCCACACAGGCACAGGAATAGGGGATCCGCAGAGGGGCTAGGATAAGCTATGTAAAATGGTGGGAGCCCAGAAAGGTGTGAAGATGGAGGCACGAGCTGGGCAGCCTTGAGAGAAGCAGTCCAAGGTTCAGAGTCATCCAGTCTTAGCCATGTCTAGGTCCCAATGCCCAGTCTTACAAGACCAGGGTACTAAGCAGACACACTCCTACACTACTCTTGGTAGCTGGGCCAACCACAAGTCCCCAACCAGGAAAGTTCTTGGGTTGGTCTGGTACCCACTCCACTCCCTATTCACAGGCCAGCCATCCCAGTCTATTCCGCCTTCACTCCGCCTTCACCTAATTCCACACCTGCACACAGTGACCAAGCAGGCACCCATGAGCCAGGGCCAGAAAGAGAACAAGTGAAGCACCAAAAGGCTCCCTACCCCCAGCTCCATGTCAGGCCCAGGGTGGCCACAGGCCCATCTCCCCATGAGGCTGTATTCCCCCATCACCCTTCTTCCTACGATGTCAGGTGTGGGCTTTTGAGGGATCTCGATGGCCACCCCTAACACCCCTAAAGCATACAGATGTCCCTGGACTCAGCTTCCCACCTCCAGAAAGCAACAAGCAACCAGAGACGGTTACAACTCGAAGCTTAGTGTCTCTTCCGCTGGAGGAATGGGGGGGGGGTGTCTTTCCATATGCAGGTGCTTCTGCCAACAGAGAGAGAGAGAGAGAGAGAGAGAGAGAGAGAGAGAGAGAGAGAGAGAGAGAGAGAGAGAGAGAGAAAGAGAGAGAGAAAGAAAGAGAGCGAGCGAGCGAGCGAGCGAGAGCGCACCAGGCCCTCCCGGCCCAGGGCCCAGGCGCCTATCCGTGCCCCCGGGCATCCAGGAAACTGCAGGGCAGGATCAGGCTGGCCACGGGCCCGGGGCGGCTCCGCTAGGGCCTGCCCCAGACCAGCCCCAGCACGCGCGGCGCACATGCCTCCGCGGTCTGCCGGGCCCCAGGCGCCTCGCGCCTCCCCACGCAGACAAACACGGGCAGGGCGACGCAGGCACACGCCGAGGGCCACCGCGCACGCGGGCCGTGG